CTTAACCACAACAAATAGGTTTTAGAAGGTTTATTTTTAAAATGCAAGGAAACTATCTTGGATTCATATACTTGTCAACTTTTTTTTGGACAACTGACATGTTTTAATCTTGGGGAAAACATGTTGAGGAAAGAAGGGAAGTGGAGAAATAAATGATACACAGTTTTCCAATAAACTCGGAGCCTTCCAACAGCAGCAGGCTTGAAAGCATTAAAAGAGTGCTGGATTTGGCTTTTATTTGCTTCAGTGGCGCTTCAAATCTCTTTGGCTATTGTAGAAGGTTTTCAGGTCATCACAAACCAAAGTGAAAAGGGAATACTGTGGGCAGTAACTGTATGAAACACCTTATTTATTTCAACTGACTCCTGCCACAATTGATTGAAGGACTAAAAGTCCCCTTACACCTAACAGCCGTGGGCTTCTAGACCCATGCTTACTGTGCTGATTAAATAAACTATAGGTAGAAGACAGAATAAGTATATGGCTCTGGCAGAGTCAAGGAATTCACGTTGAGTAGGATAAATTTTTTACTCTCAACTCTGAGCTCTTTAGGGCAGGAACTTAATTTCCTCATCCCTGAGCACAATTTTCTCCATTTCGTATTATGGAGTGGCTATGACAGCAGAAAAACAATACAGAGACTATTTGTTAACTTCTAAACTTGTTTGACCCACTACAGTCACCTCTTTAATACTTGCATTTGCCCAGGCTACCAATCTATCTTGTTTCTTACATCTACTGCATCTGCCTTCAGAGCCCGAGGAGAGTAGATGAAACCACAACAGTAAAGTATCTGTGAACACTGCCTTAGCATCTATGAAAAATACATTAAGGAGATAAAGTTAATATTTAACATTTCAAAATGGGGAAGCTAAATATTATAACTAATAATATCAATTGTAGAAATAGTAAGGTAAACAGAATTTGCATTTTCATAGCAAAATGGTCATTCAGTTGGAAGCAAATTATTTAACCATAATTCAGTACAGCTTACTACAAAAGAAATAATTTTTATTTCCATAAATAGATGTTTGAAATATTTTAGTGGTATATTTCTGCCTGTATTTAATTTGATGTCAGTTTTTGTTAAGAGTTTGTTGTTCTGTTTTGGATACAATTTCCAAATCTAAACATTTAAAAATAATCTAGTAAAGCTTTTTCAGTCTTACACAAGATTATTAAATGAGGATGCTAAAGTGTTAACTGTGTGCACATCTGAAATCTATGAAAGGAAATATCCCAATCTCACAGAAACATCATTTGCCCTTTGTAAATCGATGTTGCCATGGCAAATGTCTTCGTTTAATACTGGATTAGCTGAGGTGGGAGGATGACATGATGTAGCGGTTTTTTTATACACCTCCCTTTTCAAAAATGCTCTAAGGTTTGTTGGATGGGGTGACTACTGCATACTAAGACAGAGCCATTCCTTTAATGTGTACGTCAGACTTGTCTCTTTATTTATGATTAAGTAGAATACATTATCTGTGAAAAGCAATCTGTGCCTGGAAAGAGTGTGTTCTGCACTTTTGCTTAAAGAATGCAACATTCATGTGGAATGGTTCCAAATCTCCTCTTGAATAGGGTTATTGAAATATTAATTCAGACTACAGAAATCTGAAAATAAGTGAAACAAAGAGGACTTTTCTGGTGACTAATAAGTGCAAAGAGAATCACTTTTCTTGCTAATGTGGAAAGATATGCATGGTTGCCTTTCACAAATATCTTCAGACTGACTATAACAGAACAATGACCCCCTACAAATCTGGTTCTATTTGTTTCTAAACGTGTACCAAATTTCCTAAATTCTTTCATTAATCAGGCTCTCTTAATAGCACTGTTGCAAAGCAGAGGAATAGGAATTAAAAATTTATCAATTCATGGCATTGTGTAGAAATTTCCTCCAGAGATTTCTAGAACATTATAAGTTTATATCAGGAAGGTAGAACATCCTTTTTGTTGGTATTCTTTTTGTCGGTAATATCGCTTATTTATTTCTTTATTAATTTTTAACAATTACAAAATCATAGATAATTTTAAAATAATAAAACAAACTTCAATATATACTAAAAAAATCCATTGCTTCCTCTTCAAGGGGAACCAGTGTTTTACAGCTTAATATGCCTCCTTCCAACTTTCTCCATGCTTGTACAAAAATGTATATCCAAACAGACATACATATGAAGAAATTTTGTTATTTATTTTTATTAAGTCTACATGTGACTCTGTAGCTTGTTTCTCTCCTTTAATACACAGCAATAGTTCTAGGGCAAGACACAGACTTCTCTTAGTCTTTCACTTATTGTATAATATGCTATGGGATGATCTCCCACAATCTCTAGAATATGAGTATTTTTACTTTAAGAGATAATTCCAGATAACTTTCTTAAAAAGTTTATGGCAATGCATGTTCCACCAACAATGTATGAGCCTGCCCATGCCTCTTCATCCTTAAAAACTCTGTGTAGTATAGTTCTTTTTAAATTTTTTTGCCATGTTGATGGGAGAAGAAAGATGGCACATTATTTTTTCTTTAATTTTAATTTCTATGATTATTAACAGGGTCAAACTTTTTTCATTCTATTAATTTAATATTGATAATCTTCATTTGCTTTTCTTTTGGGTTGCTTGTCTTCTCAGTAGTCTGTGGGACCTGTTTGTATTTATACTTGGTATATTAGCCCCTTTTCTGTCATATATGTTTATACTCATTCTCAGTTTGCTCTTGGTTAAATAATTATCATCTTTAAAAGTGTGGGTGTGTATATGTAAAAAAATGTATATAATAAACAAATTTTTTACCTTTCTATTCTTTTTCATAGTTAGTGGTCTGTTCAGTATTTTTAGTATCTTTTTAGGTCAATTTGGATAGCTAAGTATTTTCTAGAAAATCACTATTTCCTCTAGATTATAAAATTTACCGAGAGGCACATGCAATGGTGTCTAACATTTCTTCTTTACACTAATATTTAATAATGTATAATTTTTGCACTTTTTTATCTTTAGGCTTGCCATAAGCTTATCTATTTTAATGGATGTTCAGAGAACTGGATTCTTATCTTATTTATATTATTTTTGATCTATTTTATTATTTTCAGCTTTTGTCTTTATGAATTCTTCCTTTTCATTGATTTGAATGCTATTTTCCTCATTTTTAAGTTGAACTATTTATATAATTTTATTTTCATCTGACTGTTTTAATTTTAAAATAATGTAAGGCCATCAGCTTTTCTCTGACTAGCTGGGTCTCATGGGTTTTGTTGTCATCTATTTTTTTGCCATCACTCTCTGCATAATTTATAATTTCGGTTTTTATTTTTCTCCTTATTTCATGGTTTGTGTAGAAGAATGGTCCTAAATTTCTAAGTAGCTAAGTTTTCCATGGTATCTCTTCAGAGTCTATTTCTAGTTTTACTGGATTATCATCAGAAGATAAGAGCTATAAAACTCTAATTACTGTGGTACACTGAAGTCCCTTAATGTCTAGCTATGTGATTTTTTTAAATAAATGTTTTATATACATTCAAAAACGTATATTCGCTTCCTAAAATGTAAAATTTAATATCTACATTGATAGTAAATGACATTTACTATACATTAAATATGTATTAAATTATTCTGTTGATTGAAATATTCAAATTCTTCATACACTTCCTGTTTGGAGTCTATTTGATATATCAAATATCTCACTATAATTGTATTTTAACCAACTTCACTTTGCATTTTTATTTTACATGTTTGACAGTGATGGTTTTTGGTGCCTAAAGGTATATGACTGTTCTCTTAGGAAACTGTACCTACTAGATTGTTTCAAAGACAGAGTTAGAAAAGTTGAGGTCTGATTCATTTATCTGGTTATAGCATATTTCTAGAATGGTGCCTTTATAGGGATTCTAAACGTTTGCCTCTCCCTACCCACTGAACCACATTTTTCAAATCCTACTGCCTCCACAAAGATTTTCCTAATGATGCAAGAGAGAAATGCAGATTCTAATCTGCTTGTATAATGTGATTTAGAAAACCATGATTGTGATCTTAACTGAAGTATTCTTGTTGCAATCACCCTCTTCCTGCTCAACTTGATCCTCTGTAATTCTTTATTTCAACTATCCTAAAGAATGCATCATACCCTGGTGCCTTGCATTAGGTTGACAGTCTTCCTCAACTCATCCATCATCATGTACGTTAGGGTATAAACAATAATAACTAATGATTTGCTGGGTGGTACTGGCCTTTATACATATTAATTCAAAACTACAATCCCATCAAGTGAGACCTACCATTGTCTCCGTTTTTACAGATGAGGAAACTGAAGCTCATTAAGGTTTAAGTATCTTGTCTAAGATCTTGCAGCCAACACGTGGCAGAACTAGAGTTCTGATTTGTCTTATACCCATAATGACTTAGAAATGAAGGATGAGAGACAAAGGAGAGGGAAAAGACTGCAGAAAAAATCAAGAGCTTTGCAAGTTGCTGTAAAGTCTTCGGTTTTAAATGTGAGGGCTATGAAGCCCTTACAGGGTATTCATAGAAGGGGATGTGGCCTGATTTCTGTGTTAATAGGATCTCTGTGGCTGCAGTAGGGAGCACAGACTTCAGGGTGCAAAGGAGATCCGTTAGGAGAGCTGTTGTAATAATCCAGGAAAGAGAGGATGCTGCATGAGCCCAAGCAGGAAAGATGGGTGTGGGGACAATCGAATGGATTCTGGACGTATTTGGAAGGTAGACCCAACAGGATTTTCTGGCATGTTTCTGGGGTGTGAGAAAGAAGAGCCAAGAAAGACACCAGTGTATTTGACCTAAGGAAACTATAACATAGAAATTGCCATTTACTGAGATGGAGGAGTATGAAATACAGTATTTCAAAGAACTCTTGTTTAGGACCATTTACTTACCAAAACTGACTAGGTAACTAAGAATTAAGGGTCATACCATACCTCTGTTAACCTTGCATTGGTATTTTTATCCTCTATGTTTTATAAGTCATATGACACCGTTCATGAGATGTGAAAGGTTAAATCCATTTATTAGCCCACATGGTATATGCAGTGGTTTCGATCAGGGAACTACAGCCTGTGGGTGGCTGCCTGTTTAGTAAGTAAAGTGGGTTTTTTTTGGAACTCAGCCAAGTCATTCATTTACATATTGTCTAGGGCTGCTTTCTAACTGTAGCAGTTACAACTGGGACCTTACGGCTGGCAAGCTGCAAACAGTTTTTAATCTGACACTTTAAGAAATAATTTTCTAATCTCTGGCTTAGATTTAGACAGGAATAATTCATAAACGTGTTAAAATAAACTAAACTAGGTTGATTGCAACATGTCTTTTAACAGCCAGGTGATCAGGAATATTTTATCAGAATTCAGATTAGCAGCATGTCTTTCTGGATAGACATGAGAAAATATGAAAAAAAAAGTTATTCAGTGATTTAGGATGGAGCCAGTAATCTACATTTTGTTTGTTTAACAAAAGTTAGCTTTTATTTTACAACATACGTGTAATAAAAATGTGTGTGTGTGTGTGTACACAGGCTCGCACAAAAAATGTATGATAGTAACATTCTCTGGGAAACACATAGGTCATTAATAGACTGGCAGCACAGAATTGTGAAATAAGCATGCGTCTCTGGTTCAAATAAATCTGTATTTAAAATCTCTGTTCTTCAAGTTACTGGCTATTTGACTATGGGCAGCTTATTTAATCTTCCTGAATTTCAATTTTTTATGTAAAAAAATGGAAATAATAGTACCTCAAACACAAAGTTTTCATGAGTTAATGAGACAATGCTTGTAAAGTGCCTAATACAGTAGTGTTACATTATGAGCACTCAAAAATGTTTTCTCCTTTAAAAAATTTACTAGAAAAAACAAAATAAAAAGAACTCTAAGTCTTACTGAGAAAATAGGTGATCATAAGGGAGTCTCTTAACTGCGTTACTTTTTCTAGTAGCCCCTTTAGGTATCGTGTTAATTCAAAAATATCAAAAAGTAGTTGAAAATAAAAGTCTCCTTTCTGTTTCTCATTTTTAATAAAGGAAGGAAAAATGGTAAATATATATTTGTAGCTTTAAACCCAGATATGTGACATATTTAGATAATTCTCACAGAGGCAAATGTTGTTAATAGTTTAAGCATATCTTCCCTAAGTGGACATTAAATACATTTTAGTAAAAATAAAAAGGAAGCATCATAATTTAAACTTAAATAATTAGCAATGAACTACATGAGACTTTAATTTGCTGCTTACAGGATCCATTTCACATTTTTATGTTCTATCTATTTGTATAGTTGAGCCTTGCTGATGAATCAAGTGGTGAATTATACAAATGAATACAACTTAAGAATTTGACAAGTAGCATCTTAAATGACACTATCCTGAACTTTGAAAATAGTGGGAAAAACAATTTAATGTGAGGTAGCTAAGTAAACAAGACAAGGGCTGGTGACTGTTCTTTCTGATAATCACTGAATTTTCTTAGCTATTTGCTTCTCCATTAGTAAAATAGATAATATTACTTCATTAGTTTGGAGAAGTATACAGCATTTTAATATCTTTTGTTGCTCTTTTTCCAAATTTGGGGATTTTATATGCATTGCCTAACTCTTTCTAAATAAAAAGTAAATACTAGTCCAGAATTAGGATATCTCTCGCTTTCCACCTTCAACAGCAAGATCACGACGCTCCTATTTTTTCATAAAGAGAGAAAAAAACTAAGAACTGAGGAAGAAGAAACACTAAAAGCCCTGAGTCAAGTTCATTTAAGACAATGACTTAATGCAATCACCCTTCACCCATGGTCAATTTTTCCAGCGACAGAAATGCATGGGTGCAGGACCAGCCACCAGAGCCACCACTTGTGTCTTTCACACTCATAGCCTCACAATTCTTAGTATTTTTCCAGGCAGCTTCTTTCAATCAAATCCCCTTTGCCATATTTGCTCTAGTGCACAGACAGAGTCAGAAGAGGGGAGGTTAGTGGCGGACGGGTCCGAGGACTAGAGAGGGTAGAAAGGAATGTGGCTGCTGATCACACAGAGGTGGTCCGGGAATCCATCGGGCTTCCGGGTGCACAAGTGCTGGGGTCGGGTGGGGCTCTTCTCTGGGCACTTTCCAGCAAACACCTGGCTGCTTCGGGAAGAGCCGGGATCCACTCTCTACAATAAGTTTAACAGATAACCTACTGCTGATGCCCAGAAGGCTGGGGGTCATTTTCTCCTTTTGTGTAATGAGGTTTAATCTGAAAGTCAAGCTGGCCTGTGAGGGGAAACAGAGAAAAGGGAGTGTGGGGCGTCTCCTTTCTTTTTATTTCTGTGCCTAAAGAATACTCAGTTTTTAATTTAAAAAATGCAAGTATTATTATATACTAACAACTACAGAAGAGACAAGTAAATCATAACCCCCAAAGAACTAAAACTTACTTCAGTAAAGCCTCATTTTTCTGAGGTCCTTGCTAACTTTGTCTTGAATTTTAAGCACTGGCTGGGGATACGTTTGGTTTTCTCCACAATGATTGAATTAAAATATATAGACTTCACATATTATAACGTCCCCCAGACTAGCCATAAGCCAAACTTCAGTACAACTAAGTGACTCTACATGAAAAAGCTTAATCAGCATTCTGAACCTAGGAAAATCAGAGCACCCCAGCAATTCTGCATTTACCTTGCGTTACCTCTTTGACAAACAGATACCCTGAGCACGTGCGGTTTGCAGGTGATGTTATGGTAACAGCTTGAGATTTTAAAACTGATTACTTAAACTAGTGCTGTAAGAGAAGCCTATGAAAGCTGAGTTCTTATTACGTGATTATAAATGCATTGTGGAGGCAAGGGGACTTTCTTCCTTCTGTTAGAAAATGAAAAAGTGAAAATATATTAGTAACCATTTTCTAACGGTTGTTCATTTGGGAGAAAAAAGCAAAGAGAAACACTGAGGGATGCTCTTGAGAAAAATTTGTAGGAGTATTTTGTTCACTCTGATTTTATTTCAATGGCTACCTTCTTTCACCATTATTTAAAACTGACTAAAAAATTTAAAAAACAAATAAAAATAAAGAAAATAAAAGGCTTTACATTAAAAACTAAAACCTAAGGCTCTAATTTCAATTTTTCCAACGTGTTGCTCTGGGATATCTGATCTTTAAATTTAGAATTGTTCCATTTTCTGCCACTCCTGGCGACAGGTATTTGTATTCAGTTACACAGAGGAAGACAGCTTTCTGATTTCAAAGCTGACCTACGATGCTTCAAAAGAATGAGACCAGAATTTGGAAGAGGTTCGGACAGGAAAAAGCGTATTCCTTCAGAGTTCTCAAATTATTCCTAAAATAAGGGAGGAAAATAAAAGCCTCACACATCCTAATGGAAAGAAATTCAATTATCACATGGTTTCAAGTTTTTAGGTTCAAAGAAAGTATTTTGTAAAGTTATATTTTTTACAAATGAGTTTACATTTGTAAATTCTTAAACCAAGACTGTAGAGGACCTGCGTGGCACAAATAATAAACAAATAAAATGCTATGTAAATGCAGGATTTGAAAGAATTTAGGTAAGAGTAATTTTAAAATCAGCTCAGAGTACAAAGTCCTCAGCAAAGTGAAGAAATCCAGGCTGAATTCAAATTATTATACAAAAAATTAAGGTTTCATGCTGATGAAACTTCTTTTGATAACTTCTTTTCTAAGCATAAAAAGATACATAAGAATTCTGAGAAAAACATATCCGTTCTCAGTGTTCATTCTCTGGTCATAAGGGTCATTTTTAATGGAAATGACTTAAGAATAAGCACACTAAGAGATTTACTTCCTTGATTACTTTCTCCAGATTTCTGCTGCCCAGGTTCATACTTCCTGTTTTTCTTCATTTGGCTACCTTTCCTCTCCTTCAAAATTATTATGATGTCTTACTTTCTCCATGAAGTAATTACTGAAACTATAAGGGTGGCGATTTCTTTCTTATCCTAAGGTTCATTCACATTTCCCTCAACGCAGAGAACAATGAAATCACGAGTTCACGTTTTGTGAGAACTTACCAGGTACAGGGCGGAAACTGAACATACCACTGGTATTACCATGCTCAGTCCTCAGAATAACCCTGGGTAGGTACTATTATTATTCTGTCTATAGATGAAGGGGCAGGACTAGCTGGTCAAGAAAATTCTTAGGGTGACACTGCAGCAGATGGGACAAAAATGCTGTCAGTCTAGTTCCAAAGCCTACATTCTAACCCACTAGAGTTGCCTTAGATTTAGACAATAAACTTTACGTAAAATCACTGCAATTATGCTTTATCTATTTTATTTTAAAATCAACCCCCTCATGGGATAGTTAACACATCAAGTCTATAATAGCACCTTACAATGACCCTGAACTGGCAGTTTACCAAGTTGTTTTGTTTATTGATAGAGAGTTGTGACAGCAAAACCCCACAGGGTCTCTGGTGAGAAAGGAAATCAAATGAGGAAGAAAAAGTGCTAAAAGGAGAGTCTCAAAATACCACCACTTCAAGGTTCCGTTGGATTTGAAGCCAGTGTCATCAGACACCAGCTTCTACTGACTTTACCTCTCTAGGCTACTTAAAAGCTGCTTACTCTTCTCTCTCATATTCCCAAAGCCTGAAAAAACACTGATTAACAAGAAATTCATTGGGTATGAAAGTGATTTTTTAAAATTTCAGGTCAGAAAAGAAAAAAGAGTGAGCTTACTTTGAATATAAAATTGATATGGCAATAGATTATAAACTACTTTCCCTAGACTCTCTGAAGCTGGTTTAATGGGAGCAATTTTTTTTATTATTATTAAAATACAGTCAGTTACGATGTGTCAGTTTCTGGTGTACAGCACAATGTCCCAGTCATGCATACCTATACATATATTTGTTTTCATATTCTTTTTCATTAAAGGTTATTACAAGATACTGAATACAGTTCCCTGTGCTATACAAAAGAAATTTGTTTTTTATCTATTTTTATATATAGTGGTTAACATTTGCAAATCTCTAACTCCCAAATTTATCCCTTCCCAATCCCTTCCCCTTCTGGTAACCGTAAGCTTGTTTTCTATGTCTGTGAGTCTGTTTATGTCCTTGTGATATCATATGGTATTTTTTTCTCTTTCTGGCTAACTCACTTAGATTGACAATCTCCAGGTCCATCCATGTTGCTGCAAATGGCATTATTTTATTCTTTTTTGTGGCTGAGTAGTATTCTATTGTATAAATATACCACATCTTATTTATCAAGTCATCTGTCAATGGACATTTAGGTTGTTTCCATGTCTTGGCTATTGTAAATAGTACTGCTATCAACATTGGGGTGCATGTATCTTTTTGAATTAAAGTTCCCTCTGGATATATGCCCAGGAATGGGATTGCTGGATCATATGGTTAAGTCTATTTCTAATCTTTTGAGGAATCTCCATACTGTTTTCCATAACGGCTCCACCAATCTACATTCCCACCAACAGTGTAGGTGGGTTCCCTTTTCTCCACACCCTCCCCATCATTTGTCATTTGTGGACTTTTGAATGATGGCCATCCTGACTGGTGTGAGGTGATACCTCACTGTAGCTTTGATTTGCATTTTTTCTGGTAGCTAGAAATATTGAGCATTTTTTCATGTGCCTATTAGCCATTTGCATGTCTCCACTGGAGAACTGCTTATTTAGTCTTCTGCCCATTTCTGGATTGGGTTGTTTGGTTTTTATTATTAAGTTGTATAAGCTGTTTACATATTCTGGTACTTAAGCCCTTGTCAGTCTCATCTTTTGCAAACACTTTCTCCCATTCCATAGGTTGTCTTTTTGTTTTGCTTATGGTTTTCTTTGCTGTGCCAAAGCTTATAAGTTTAATTAGGTCCCATTTATTTATTTTTGCTTTTATTTCTATTGCCTGGGTAGACTGCCCTAGGAGAACAGTGCTAAGATTTATGTCAATGTTTTGCCTATGTTTCTTCTAAGAGATTATAGTGTCCTGTCTTATGTTTAAGTCTTTAAGCCATTTTGAGTTTATTTTTGTGTATGGTGTGAGAGAGTATACTAACTTCATTGATTTACATGTGGCTGTCTAGTTTTCCCAACACCATTTGCTGAAAACACTGTCTTTTCTCCATTGTATGTCCTTGCCTCCTTTGTTGAAGATTAATAGACCAAAAATCTGTGGGTTTATTTCTGGGCTGTCCGTTCTGTTCCATTGATTTACATGTCTGTTTTTGTATCAATACCATGCTGTTTTGATTACGGTAGCTCTGCAGTATTATCTGAAGTGTAGAGGGGTTATTCCTCTAGCTTCTTTTTTTTTTTCTTGGTATTGCCTTGGCAATTCTGGGTCTTTTGTGATTTCATATAAATTTTAAGATTATTTGTTCTAGTTCTGTGAAGAATGTCCTGGGTAATTTGCTAGGGATCACATTAAGTCTGTAGATTGCTTTGGGTAGTATGGCCATTTGTTCTGGTCTTCATATTATAGTTATCCTTAATTTATTTTTTTCCTTTTATTTTTTTTCTTTTTTTTTTTTGGCCAATTGTTCTTATTCCCTTCCATCCTTTATTTCTTTCCTCTAATACTTTTTCATTTTTTTCTTTCCTTGCTTTTTTATCTTCCTCTTAAGGCTAAGTGTTAAATTTAGTTTCATCTGTATTTGAAAAAAATACGTTCTTCACTAAAAGTACTCACACTATCACAGTTCCAGATCTTCCTCATAAGAACACCAAATTCAGGAGGGAAAGTCTTCCAGGGTTTCTGTATCCATCTCTTCCTGACTCAATAGGAGTATAACAAACATTTCTCATGAGGGCTTATGAGGTATATGACCTATATGTCAGCTGGATCAAGTCAATAAATACTCATCGCATGGGGTCAATAGATGGTGATAGTAAAGGTAGAAGAAACATTCAACAACCAGTTCTGAGCTGATCAGAGACAACAAGTGAATCACTTACCCAGTGAGGCAGTTTCAGTTACAACAGAAAACCCAACTCAGTCTGGTCGAATAAGAAAGGCTAACATAACGGCAAACTCCCTAAGCAGCAAGGTCACCAAGAACCTCTATTCTTTCAGTCTCTCTACACGGCCTTCTATAGCATTAGTTTTATTCCAGACATGGCTCCTCTCATGAACTTAGCAGACCCCAGGACTACATGCCTTTTGCTCACATGCAACAAAAAAATGTATTCCCAGGAAAAGTCCTAAGATTTGATTGGACTGGTCTAGGTCAAACACCTTCTGAACCAATCACTGTGGAAGAGAATGTGGAAGGCAATGATTCACTAATCCTAGCCCATAAGCTCTACCTCTGGATTCTGGGTAGACAGTTCCCCAGAACCACATGGTTTCAGAGAAGAAACAATGAGGAATAGTAGGCTAGGAAGGCAAGCAGCAAATGTCTGCTGCATGAGGCAAAGCTGAATGCAGATAAAGCAAAATAACAAGCTGCAGTTTACTAAATAACATATGTTCTTTTTTCCATAGAGTTATTTTGACAACTTTAAGACTACAGAAATGATTAAAAAATTTTTTTAAATCAAGTTCCTCCTCATTCTTTTATAATCAATTCCTCTAGGAACTCTGAGAATATTCATCCCAACACAGTTACCTAATATTATTATTAAATAATTTAAATGTTTTTACTGTAAAATAAGGAAATGAAAAAATAACAGAATAATACAGAATTACAACAGACAACAATTTGAGAAAATAATGATACTCTTATCATTTTCAGACTATGTATTAAGTATGTACTAAGGAGTGCTTAAAGATGAATTATTAAACTTAAAAAAAATACAAAGTCATTTTGAGGAAACAGGGAAAATCACTTTCAAAAGCAAGAAGAGACAAGAAAAAGCACCCTTCATAAGTGAGTAACTATCATTCTTCTCTACTGTTCTTCCAATCTCATTACACCTTTTTACTAAATACTGAAGAAAGAGCTTAAAATATTAAGGGCCAAGATGCTAATAACTAAACATACAAAAAAGTCATCTGCCTGGTTATTTGGGAATGGGCAGGGATGAGGGTGTGACAGTCTATTTTACAACAGTACTTATTTATAGATCCTTAGATCCTACACAGGTATTCAAATAAATGAATGTCAATCCTTAGTCCTACAGAAAGTCCAGCGCAGGTTGGCTACAATACAGTGGGTATTCTCTTAGAGCTTCTGAATGTTTATTTCAAAAGAATCCTCTCTGATATGTAGAATACTTTTATTCCAAGTACTTGAAAAAAAAAGAAAGAAAGAAGAGGAAAGAAAAACTGAGTTATCTGCAGCAATGAGTCATCAGCACTGCAGCTCTATGACACCCAGGTCTTTCCCTGTTTCGGCAGCCCTTCAAAAGAAGACTATCTTAATGACACATGTAAATCCCTGCACTGCCTGGCTGAAAAGCATAGTTAATTCTGGTCTTTTTATGTTTAATGAAACACCTTTCACACATGACAGCAGTGGGTTTGAGCTTCTTGTGTGTACCTAAAAAGGAAAAGCCTTAGCAACAACCTAGTTCTACTCAAAATGCTCTGTAAGTCACGGTGGTATAAGTTCTGCCACCATTTCTTCAAAATACATCTCATACGACAAGCAGATCACACGAAAGAAAACTCACAGTCAACCACCTGTAAGAACTGTTTTCTTAACTTTTAAAGGTGGGAAATGTTTTACTTTTCAAATTCTTGACAGTAATGACATACTTTTATTTCTTAATTTGTGGCTGTGATAGAAGGGTATATAAACAATGTAATCTCTTAGATGCAGCTGCTCAATAGCATTTCCCTTTATTAGAATAATTTTTCATATTTGAGTACATACTTAGATGCTGCACTACAGAGGCTATTACTCCATTGAGACTTTTAAAACATAAATTTTCAAGGTTCCATTTCAAAACAAATACAGGTAAAAATTTTTAAAAGAAATTTAACTGAAAGATTTACGTGAAAAATTTACTCCTCTTTATGATGCTCAATTATTCTAACCCTATCTGAGGAGTCTTAAAACAAATGCCTACTTTTAAAGAAGTTACTACTGCTGGAAATGCAGTTTCTTTCCTTTAATTATAGACCATATAGAACATGCGAATACTGAAATACAGAATTCCTCTCACCTGTTTAGGTGTAACTCCAGGCATGCGAATATCCAATGCAAAATCTGATGAATCAATAGGAATTACTGGTCTGGTGGTACCAAGACATTCATTGGAAAATGATCTGGTAGTTTCTTTAAACCTTAAAAAAGAAGACAAGTTCAATATCCTTGAACATAATGGAATCTTAACTGGACCTGAGAAGGGAAAAAAAGGAATTCTATGACTTTAGAAGACTCTTAATTTAAGACCCAATGAAAAGAACCATATAGGGTTCTGTAACATTCTCAAAATTGTATTGTATAATCCAAGAGCAATAAATACCCAGCTTGAAAGCAAAGTATAAACAAAGCAACCAAGCAGGGTACATTTAAAACTTGATTCAATAAAAACTTGTTAAAAATATATATGTTTCTAGTTAATGAAAATACAGTATTAATAAATTAGAATTATCACAGGCCTGCCAATCCTCTAACGGCAAAAATATTAACTACAAGCCAGTAAAATTTTTGTAACTATTTTATGAGTGTCCAGTGTTACCAGTTAGAAACAAAAAAACTAACAATAATATTGCTAGGAGACAGAGTTGCCTGAGGTAGAGGGAAAACTGCGATGTGAATTACAAATGTACAAAAGCATAAATATTTAACATGGTAATTATGAGTGAGTATACTGCTCAATGTTTTCTCCTGAGCCATTACAGTCCGTGATCTGCTTCTCCCTACAACTTACCTATCTCAATATTTTATTCTTCAGGCTGCTATAAACAAGAAGGCATTCATTCAAAACTGAACGACTATATTATAGTTCCTGAAATATCTCCCCAAGAGGGAGGGATTAATATTGGAAATCACAACTTCTAATTAAGTTTTGAAAGCACGTTGGCTACAATACAGTGGGCATTTTTTGTAAAGGGGACTTCACCAGAAGTTACTGTGCTAAAATTCCAACAGATTTCATTGAAGTTAATCAACCATGTATATTTCTCCAACACTCTGGTTCATAAAAGTGATTACATTGTCAAACGCATGCACAGAAACCATCCAAACAATATTTCGCCTGTTTAAGAAAACAAAAACAAACACCCACCTCTTAAAGACAGAAAGTGGGCTTCTGAAACCCAAACAGCTGCTTTGGAAAACAAGGAGGAGAACTAGCAGGCTACGAAAGCCAGCCATGTCCACGCCGCTCCAGCCCCGCCGGGAGGACCGGGCAGCGCAGCGCTGGGCTGGGGCCGGCGGTCGGGCAGCGGCGCCAACAGCAGCCGCTACTTCATGGCCGGGGCGCGGCGGGCGTCCAGCGGCGGCCACACACCACCTGCCCGGGAGAGCCGCGAGCTGGACGAGGCGACGTGTCTGGATCAAGAGCCGCAGGCAGAAACCCGTGGGAAGGAGGTACTTTTGTCCGGTCCGCAAGCGGAAGCTCTCCTCCCTCCAGAGCTGCTTTCTGCCCTGGTGCTGGGACTAGACGTGCGGGCTGCTTATCACTCGGGAATGACAGGGACTGTGAGGGATATCACACAAACCCGCGTCAGTCATCATTCAGAACCTGCAAAAATAGAAGCAGATAATGGATGACTAACACATTACAGCATTTGTCCTCAGCAAATCCCAGCTGAGGTTCTTTAATACATTAGTAGTTTCACAAGCTTGAGCCCAAGCCTGGGTAAAATGCTGGTCTGTTGATCTCCCGCCCCCATGACCAGCCCCCGAGATTTCACAAAGGTCCGTAGCCCCTGTTCTGCCTTTTGCGCTTCCCTCCTCCCTCACACCCACTCCTTTTTTCCCTCTACTCCTTTCCCTCTTACCCTCACATTCACCTCACTCTCCGGATTTCTTCTCCTTACTTCTATATCACTCCCTTCTATTATCAAAAATGCACGCAATACCTCTGCTGAATGTAAACAAAGTTACACAAATGATAGGCTAAGGCACAAGGAAAATAAAAAAACTAAGGCAGAGACAAAGCACTTGGATACAACAACAATCAGGTAGAAAAAGACTCTGAGAACAAAGGCATGTTTACATATATACATATATGCATCACAGAGCTATAGAGCTAAGGAGAAAGATGCCTCCTGCCAAGAATGATCACCACAGAAGTAACTGCTGAAATGCTCAGAATTACTTTGAAACAAACCCAAACTCTACAGCTAACGTGATATATGAAATGTAAGCACCTGTTTAAAAATCCTGCATCTAATATACAAAGTAATAATTACTCCCTTTTGGGAGACATGCCTCCCAAAAGATATTCTTTCCTGAATAAAGTTTGGAGACTTACAATGCAAGGCAATTAGGAGAATCTCAGCTGCCCCCCACATGAATTTTATCTACCAAGGGTATGATCAAGAACTTAACATTAATATAAATGAGAGGCTGTGCAGAACTAGTGCAACATCTTAATATATTCTGTGAAGAGGACTCAACTATGCTAAATTTTGAAACATGCATGTTTTGACTTTACTGTTGCTCTGAATGTTTCAGACTATGTATCAAGTATGTGCATTTTAGTCAGAAGGCATTATTTTAAAATGTGCCATTCACAACATAAAAACACCTTCAGAGAAAAAGATTTTTTAAAGTTTTATTTTACTAATTATAAACATGATTTGGGGAATCGCAAGTAAACCCACTGGCCAGATGAATAACAGTAAAAAGCAAAAATCAGTTAAGATCATACAGAGGTGCTCCACAATAATAAATTAGCCTCTACATTATGCTCTGGAAATCACAAGATACTGAAGCTAATCTAAACAAAACAAAACAAATAAACAACAACAACAACAAACAAAGAAAAACTAAACTAAAACAAGCAAAAAGCATGAACTAAAGTTTAAATTAAATCAGAAGAGTTCATGGCCACTGCTTTCTAGAAGAAATATACCTTATACCAAATATAAATAAAACATGATTGAATGTCCAACCTACCCAAGGATGCTTGAGGCTCACCAGCATGCAGAGACTACAGTTAATTTACATAAGCAACGACATTTTTAAAAGACTGATGATATTTGTTTGAACTTTCTCTTTGGCATGCTATGTGAGCTTTCAGAACAAAAACCTTCAGCTATGTCGGAATCCTGTGAGTAAAGGAAAGAACTTCTTATGGGGGAAGAGAAACACTGGCCTGCAGGCTATGCTGTTGCCTTTGCTTAAAACAAAATATAATCCTGTATAATGACAGTACTTAATATTCCCTGAAGTTCTCTTTTTTCTTTAAATATAAGTGAAGAAGGGATTATACAGAACAGGATTCAAGGACAGTCCTTCCAGCTAGCAGGGATATTTGGTATTGTATAAACACTTGAAAACAAATTTAGTATTAAAATTCTGTAACAGGAACACATCCTTAAGTTCTTGTCTTTGAAAAAAATTCCACTTATCTCTTTGATTGATTTTATTACCTTTGGTGTCCCTGAACCACCCATTGAAAGAAGAGGGAACTGAAGTTGTGGGTGAAAGCAAAGTTGCTGTTTGCAGCTGTGAACAGAACAAAAGGTCTTATAGAAATGAAAGTGCATTATGCTTCTTGGTTCTTAATGTCTTGTTAACTAAAGACAAAAGACAAATTATCCTATGAAAAAAAAAATGTCATCATTTCATTTGATATTTTACAATGCCTGATAATTGTGGACTTATATATATAATATACAAATCTTTGTAGTCTTGTTTAGGATTTTAAAAATTCAAAATATATTTCCTTGAGAAAATTCATTCTCTAATACAAAAACCCCCATAATTTTATATTTTGTACAAAATATTATGTGTTGGGGTTTTATAAAATGAATAAAACCAAAAGAGAATATAGTCTGTTAAGGGAGATGGGGACTTGACACAATTAATATCAGGTATGTTTAGGCTGTAGCATTCCCATGAGAATACATAAAAGGGACTTGCAAAATTTTGAGGAAGGAAAGATAATTTCAGCCTTCAAGAGGAGGGTAAGAAAAAAGAGAAAGGTAAAGCAGTCTTCAGTGGAAGAGGTGGCTACTGAGCAAGAGCTTGGAGTATGGTTGGGTTTTCACTGTTGGAGATGGAGAGTGCTTCTTCCAGGTGCAGGAGCATGGGAGCCCAAACGGGGAGCAGAGGATGTTTGAAAAATAAGTCATAAAGGTCCTGCATCCTAGACTCAAGCTGTGGACCCAGATGTACTATTTTACTTGTAACACAAAACAAATATTCTGTTTACACATTATCAATTCTTAGTAAGAATGATGTACAGTTTATACCTGTTCAAATATTAATTCTAGGAGCAGTATTATTATGTAGTAAGGATAGTGTAGTACAGAGCACCGTAAAACTAATTCAGCTTTTACAAAGTGAGCCATCTATTCTCTTCAATTTTCATTTGAAAAAGGGGGGGAACCCCAAAAAGATAGTTAAAATTTGTAAGTGGTCAAAGAAGCCAAATAAACATACTGGCCATTCACTCACTGATTTACCAGCAAGAGAGAACCAGTTTAGTACAGAGGCTGGAGAAAAACTGGACTCCTGGCTCCACGTTGACTAGCCTTGTGAAACTAGGCAAATACTTAGCCTCTCTCTCCCTCAGTTTCCTTAGCTGCAAAATGGAAATAATCCTACCACCTATCTCATAGGCTTGTTACAAGGAATAAATAAATTCATTAGAATAGAGCCAGGCACAAAATAAATGTTTGCTATTACTATTGCTGCTACAAATATTTATTGAGTGTCTAGGACTACCATTAATGCTGGGAATGGTGATAATCAAGACAGATAAAGTTCCCACTCTTACAGAGATTACTTCCTAGTGGGGGAAAAAAACAAATGAAAATATGACCAAACTATAAATTTCATTTTCTCGTGAAATTTTATGTGGCTTCCTACAATGACTTATAATTCAACTGATTAAGAATGCACATCTATTCACTTAGCAATTTGACTCTAGGGATTTATTCTTGGGTAAAAATTGAACAAAGGCACAAACATGTTTATAACATTGTTTATAATAACAGATAACTGGATGTTTATGATAGCAAAGAACTGGAA